GGGGCCTGAACTCTGGGCCTGGGCGCTGTCCCTCAGCTCTTCATCTCAAGGCTAGTATTCTACCACTTGAGCCACAGCACCACTTCCGGCTTTTTTCTTTTTTGCTTATGTGGTGCTGAGGAATCGAACCCAGGGCCTCAGGGATGCAAGGCAAGCAATCTACCACTGAGCCACCTTCCCAGCCCTAGCATTTTGTATTCTTTAGAAGACAACAAATCACCTTCTTGGTTTGCTCTGCAGCCCCTGCACCTTTAATGCTCCAAGGCTATAATACAGACTTGTGCTAATTCTTGGACTTTATCCTTCTAGGTCTTTGTGCATCATGATGCAGCTAGCTCTGTGGTAATAGTGTTTGACACAGATAACCGGATATTTGGTTTGCCCCGGGAGCTTGTGGTAACTGTATCAGGTAACGAATATTTCATTTTTAGTATATGAAATTAAAATGTCTTTTTCCCCCTATCCTGGGGCTTGAACTCTGGACTAGGCCCTGTCCCTGAGCTTCTTTTGCTTAAGGCTAGCACTCTACCTCTTGAGCCACAGCACCACTTCCTAAAACCAGTCTTGTCATTTCACTTCTGGGTGTGACTCACCTTCATAATCACAGCTAGTTGCTATTTTTCCTAATGCTTCCTTATCTAAACATAGTTGTCCTGAGCCACTCTTCTCGCTACCTCACCTGTGCAGTCTGTACTAAATTTACCTCTCCAGGGAGGCGTAGCTAACTCAGCACCCCATCAATACCCCCGTCACAATATTATTTATATATTTTTTCGCTTATTTATTCAAATTTAATGTCTCCCACTAAAACATAATCTGAGGGCAACAAGGAGTTGATCTGCACCCCCAGAGCCTAGAGGCATCACAAAACATAGTAGATCGTAATGAAGAGTTGGTATCTGAGGAATAGTTTGCTTTAGATTAAGATCGTACAGGTTCCTTAGAGTTTGATTTGTATTCTGGTTTTCCAGAATCCAGGAAAAAGGAAATGTTTGGTTTCTTCCAGGGTCAATTTGTGCCATGGTTTGAATTAATGAAAGTTTGCAGGGTGAGGAATGCTGTACTTTTGGATTGTGTCTGCTTGGTTGAACCAGATAAAGTGTGAAGAACTTAATGGATTCAGCCATCATTTAAATCTAGCTATGCCACACAATATGTATTTTGAGGTTAATTGCTATTTTGATGATGATGGTGATGATGATGATGATTCTAAAACTTTTGTTTTAGAATTTTTTTGTATAAGTTAAAAGTAAAACAGGGCTTTTTGATGAAATAGAAAATTACTGAAAAGAAAAAGTAGAAGTCACTGATTGATTAAAAAGCAAGTTTTAGAGTTGAAAATATAGCTCAGTGATAGAGCACTTGCCTAGTATGTACAAGGTCCTGGGTTTGTTCCCCAGTGCAAAATAACAACAAAAATCCCAGGTTACAGAAATACAGATACTATAATTTCACTGTGGTAAAATAGGAAATACCCATGCAAAAAGAAAGATCTGGGAAAGTAAGATAAATACCATTTCTGGGTACTAGAAACATTAATTGCCTAAAGATGTGAGCCTTGATTTTCTTTATTTAGTTTAGTTTCATTGTGCTAGTACTATAGCTTGAACCCAGGGCAGTGTGCTCTCACCAAACTTGCTTATTCATGACTGGCACTCTACTCTGCCTCCTGTCTGGCATTTTGATGGTTAATTGGAGGTAGAGTCTTTCAGGTTTTCCTGTGTGGGCTGGCTTAGAACTTTGATCCTCCAGATCTCAGCCTCTTGAGTTGCTAGGATTACAGGTGTGAGGCCACCTGTAATAATAATAGGTTGTTTGGTAGGCAGGGTACTGAAAATTGAACCTAGGATGGCAAATGCTCTACCATGGAGGTACATCCAAAGCTGTAAAAGCACTTGTTTGTATCCTAAAAGCATAATACTCACATAATTGTTGTTGTTGGGCAGGTGCCACCATGTCAGCATTGATCCTAACAGCTTGCATTATCTGGTGCATCTGCTCAATCAAGTCTAACAGACACAAAGATGGCTTCCATCGGCTCAGACAACATCATGATGAGTATGAAGATGAAATTCGCATGATGTCAACTGGTTCCAAGAAGTCCCTCCTCAGCCATGAGTTTCAGGATGAAACAGACACAGAAGAGGAAACATTATATTCTAGCAAACATTGAAAAATACACTTTGCATATCTCCCAGCATAAGTACCAAGCAAAATGACAGTTCCTCTTGGGAGACTCTGCATTAAGAAGAGACTGTCTTGCTTCTTCAAAAAGCTTTGGGAAGTTACCTTGCTAAATTTATATCCTTTGTGAATTTTGCTGGCAGTTTTGAACTTCCCTTCTTTCAAGTACTCTTAACCTTTTTTAAAAAAATCTGATTTCTATTTATGCAGCAGAGATGAGACAACCAATCTGTTTTTTGTTTTACTTTAAGATGAGCTATTTGGAGCTTATATAACAACAGCATAAAGCCAACTAGTGGATGTTGTATTTTGCACATCAGGTATTTTACTAGTGGCTTTGGTTTTTCTTCTTTTGTTTTCCTTTATTTTTAAGGCCAAAAGAATCTAGATATATTAAGGCAGGGACAGCAGTCAGACTCTGACATAAAGCTTTAAATACTCAAGGTTTTTCTCAACCTACTGAGGAGTACTCTTCTCTAGTTATCAAATAGCTGGAGTTTCTCTTATTCAGGTTTAATGGAGGCTGAATGATTTTCAAACATGTATGACATAAGAAAATGAATAAATGGGCTTCCGAATTTGTCTTTCTACCTGTTTCCAGGCTAGATCAGAACAGGTGGGCTAGCAGGATTTCACTACCTCTCTTGTAAGGTTTGGCAAAGTTCTAAATCTCCTCATTTTAAGGGAGATCTCATTGACTGTGGAAGATCTAAACGTCCCCTTGAATGGAGGTGAGAGGGAGATACTAGCAAAAGCTGAAACTCTCATTGCCTATCTTTTAACTTGGTAAAAACCCACAGGTGCTGCTGCTTTTATCTGTGAAGCGCTAGTTGATTCTAGGAATGCCTAATTCTTCAGTAGTTCCTAAATTCAAGCCTTTTTCTATGTTATACACTTATGGTTTTCAGATGACCTAGCCATCTACAAGTTCTGAATTCTACTGAACATATCTGGAAGTGTGGATGAACCTACCTGCACATCTGAACATACAGTATCTATAGTCCGTGCTCCAGCCCCAGCCTTCGCCCTTAAAGCATACCATTAGTGAACTAGTGTCACCAGTGTTGTTCCTGGCAGGCCTCTGCAAGTGATTGGGTTCTTTGACCTACAGTTTCATTTGACACTGTCTTTTTTTCTGAACAGCCAGTTTTGTTAAAAGTTCAGTTGAAAGCCTTTAAATATGGCTTTCCCCACTTAAAAAAATGTAAACTAAGGATTGTGTGTGATATAATACTGTGGTGTGTAAGTATCATCTTCACTGCCCATCAGGTCAAGACCTGAAAGATATGCATTTGACTGTGTCCATCTCATGCTATTCAGTGGAAATGATACTTTTGTTAAGTATGAGTCTTATCAATGATGTAATGGTTTAATACCTTTGAATGTGTTAATGGTCAAGTTGCTGCTGAATTTGTACTAAATCAGGGGATAAAAAAACTAGCTCTTATTCTTTCAAACTGTATTCATATCTATTAATGTATCATTTATCCCAAAGCCTTCATGTGGAGGGGTTTGCTCAATTCACCTAGGTCATTCCACCGGGTTTTTATGAGGAATGAATCCAACGTGGCTTTAGACAATAGAGATCTTTTTAGGAAGCATAATGAGGACATGATGTGTGTCAGCAAATATCTGTGATAAGTTTGGGTGGCTTAAGGTTGAGCCATTCTAGTACTGATCCTGGCATTAGTAACCCCAAATTTCACCACTTTCACTCACATCCCATATACACACAGAGTTTGTGGGATGCTAATAATGAATGAAATATACATAATTTGATTTCTTCTAATAACACTTTGTTTTCTGTAAGTAAAGGGGGTATTGCTTTATTTTTAAGAGGGCAAAGTCAGAAAACCAACAGGAGTCCTACAAGTTGCTGGCCCTGCTTGGGACATTGCACCTAAAAATGAAACCAACCTGCTGGGACAGCCTTGGCTTTATTAGCATTGGCCTTCACTAAAGGATACCTTCATATTTACTTCTGTCTCAAATTAAATGCATCTTTAATATACATTTTAAAAGGCCAGGCCTTTTAAGTATATATAAAACTTTTCATTTTAGAGATGAACATAGTTCTTTTAGTATTTATTCTTGAAATGGAAACCAAATCCTGAGATTAAGTCTTCAAACTTTAATAAATTTCTAAATAATGCATTTAGCAAAGAAACAAGGCCTTTTTGGGGGCTTATCAACATGAATGTACAGGATCTGTGACTACTAAGACTGTGTTTTCAGCCCTGCTCTGTCTTTTATTTGTGAATCTAGTGTAATATTAGAATATATGAACAGCAGAAGGCATTGAAGCCATATGGGCTTGGGGAATGCATTTCTTCAGTATTTCTCCTAGACATGCCATTCCCCTGGAGTCACAGAGGCACATTAAGTATCACAGTATTAAGAAATTGGCTCAAATCTCACTTGTGCCCTTCTTTACTCACAAGGCATGGTTTTGTCCTAGTGATCAGTTTGTAAGCCTTCTTCCTTCCCAGCTCCTTAATCAATAAAAGTAAAGTGATTGAGGAAGTCATGTTCAAAGTGTCTGCCTGTGTAAAATGTACTCATACTTATCATATAGTTAAGTAAAATGAGTCCAAGTTATCAGGAGGAAAAAGCTGTTGGGTTTCCATGTACTTGGCAGAACTCTTCGGTAGTGAGTGAGACCCCATCTAGTTGAGAAATGCATGAAATTCTTACCACAGGGAATTCGCTTTGGGACTTTGTCATAAAAAGGAAACTTTACATTTTTGGCTCAGTGTAATTGAATGGTTAATCTTTGGTGATTTTCATCTGAATAACTGAATTAGTGAATATTGAACTTAAAATGAATTATGAGTTGACAAATTAATAAAAGATAAGTGTGTGTGTCTGAACTTACTGCGTTTCTGAGCTAGCCCCAGGTTACTCAGTTACCATGACCTGACCTCCATTTCCATTTATTCTCAGCATTAAGTAAGCTTATTTTTTGGTTAACATAAATGCACTTGTGCCTGGTTTTATCCTTGCTGTATTAAAAGCTTCCTGTCTATGAATGCTCTAATAGTGCCCTGTATTACAGTTCCCTGGTGAAATTGTTTTAGCAGTAGCAACTCGGCATTTCCCCTGTATTTTACTAAAAACCCCACTTATGTTTGATGTTCCATGATTTTCTATCCAGCAACTATCAGGGCTTTTAGTTAAAGCAGATTTGGGGAGGAGATGATTAGAGTCCTTGATTAGTGTCAACAAACTTGAATTTCTAGTTCATGAAGCAATCTCTCCCAACACCCAATTCTCCTATTTTTGGTGGTAACTCATCAATTCTACTTGATTTTCAGGATATTTTCTGGTTGATTTTGATTAGATGGAATATGTTAGGAAATTTGAAAGTAGGTTATCATTTTAAGGCAATTTGAATTAAATATTATGTAAATGTGTATGCTTATGACTTTTATAAATGGCATAACACAAGTGTGCTAGCAACATCTGTGTGGCCATACTGCAGATTTTCTACAGGCATGACATCATGCTATTTTTAGACATTTTCTTTTCACCTCTCCATTCTTTTCAGAATGAAAAATGTCCCACTCCAGAACTATCTATAGCTACTTACATGACATGCCCAATTCCCACTCATCTGAAGTGCTTCAACTTTTGCTTTAGTTTATGCACTGTGCCTTCAAAATAAAAAATAAATAAATAAAAGGACTTTAAATGAAGTTGAATAGCTTAAAGAAATCAATCTCTGTAATTTATGTGAACTCTAACTGTAATGAGGTCCTTTCTGGTTTTTTTTATATGTAAACAGATCTAATCCTGTATAAAAGTTATTTTATGATGTTTGTCTTTCTTTGTGTTTTGTCTTAATCATTTTTGAAAAGCAATAGACCAGGGAAAGTTATTGTTCTAATTTTAACTTTATATTTCACTTTTCTCCCAGTACTAGTTATACAGGTTGTCACCTATAAGAATGTTTCTGTCTCTGGGTAAGTTCAGAAACCAACCCACAAAACAGGTTTTGTTTCGGAATAAGCTGGGTCATAAAGCTCATCTGCAATGATAAATATTCAATAATTCCACCATGATGCCATAACCAATAGCAACCCAGCATTTAATACTCAGCCATTTCCTGTCTCTCTGTGCCCTCTCTTCAGGATCAAGAAAGGTTGAATGGTTTATTACCCATTTGGGAGCTGCTAGTATGGCTCAAGTAGTAGAATGCCTTTCTAGAAACTTCAAGGTCCTGAATTTAAAATTCAGTTCCAGCAACAACAACAACAATTTGTAATCCTTTTTCTAGTGAAGCCCAGTTAGAATAATGTGCCCTGGCACCTTCAGGCCCAGTGACGATGAGTTCAGTAAACCCCTTGTCATTTATAACAATTGGTAGATATTGCTACTCTAATAAGGACTGGGAAAGCAAAGTTGTATAGGAAACATGGGCTTTGATAACTAGGAACTAACTCAAAGCACACATTTTGAGAAATAGAAATGGAAATAAGCTATACTTCAGTTGTGTTTGTTTCCTCTGAAAAGAAAGCTGCTTGTAAGTAAAGGAGAGAGCTTAGGCTACTTGGAGATTGATTCTTAGCTCTCCCATTTGCTGCTTCTGTGATCTTGTAGTAGACAAGTCTCAGTTTCATACTGTGAGGAATAATCTCTGGTAGGATTGATTATATATGGGAATGAAATGAAGTGACATTAGCACATCTCAGAATTGAGTGTCCATAGTAACTAGCATAATTTTCCTTTGTTCCCTATCTTCTGATCCTTTTGAAAGAAAATTATTTTTGTTAGCTACATGAATAAAGATCTTTCAACAGATGGTCTTTTTTAATTAAGAAGATTAACTAGATATGAGTAGTTACTGGAAGTTTTCTTGCATTTTGTAGTTTAATAGATTGTCTATTTTTTTTCTTTGAAGGGGGTTTGTTTTTATTTTATTTTTTAATTTATTTATTCTTTTGTCAGTCATGGGGTTTGAACTCAGGGCCTGGGTGCTGTCCCTGACCTAATTAAGCCTAGCACTCTACCACTTAGTTTTCTGGTGGCTAATTGAAGATGAGTCTTAGAGACTTTCCTGCCTGTATGACTTCAAACCATGATCCTCAGATCTTAGCCTCCTGAGTAGCTAGAATTACAGCCATGATCCATAAGCACCTGACTTTGGGAGGTTTTATTTGGGGGGGGGGTCCAGTCGAGGGCCTGAACTCGGCCTGGGCGCTGTCCTTCAGCTCTTCAGCTGAAGGCTAGCACTCTACCACTTGGGTCACAGCACAACTTCCAGCTTTTTTTTCTGCTTATGTGGTGCTGAGGAATGGAACCCAGGGCCTCATGCACGCAAGGCAAGCACTCTACCACTGAGCCACCTTCCCAGCCCCTATAGTCATTTTTAAAGTCAGGAAGCATATGTCTTTCAATTTTGTTGCTTTTAAAGATTATTTTGAACCAGATACTGGTGGCTTAAGCCTGTAATCCTAACTACTTAGGAGGCTGAGATCTGAGGATCACAATTCATAGCCAGCCTGGGCAGGAAAATTCATGAGACTCTTACCTTCAGTTAACCACCAGAAAACCACAATTGGTGCTGTGGTAAAGTGCCCATCTTGAACTGAAGAGCTCAGGGTCAGCACTCAGACCTAGAGTTCAAGCCCCACAGCTGACAAAGAAAGAAGAAGGAAGGAAAGAAAGAAAGAAGGAAAGATTGTTTTGATTATTCAGAGCTCTTTACAATTCCATTGAATCTGAAGATTAGCTCCCCTGCCTCCTCCCCCCCTGCAACCCAAACAGACTATTAGAATTTTGTTAGGGGTCGCCTTCAATCCATAGATCACCCCTACAATATTGTCTTCCTGCACATAGACTATGTCTTTCCATTTATTTAGATAGTCGTTAATTTTTCTTTTTTGTCAGTCATAGGGCTTTAACTCTGGGCCTGGGCACCTGCTCTACCACTTGAGCCTCAGTGCCACTTCTGGCTTTTTGGGTGGTTAATAGGAGATAGAGTCTTACACACTTTTTGGCCCGGGCTAGCTTTGAACCATGATCCTTAGATCTCAACTTCCTGAGTAGCTAGGATTATAGGTGTGAGCCACCGGTGCCTGCCCAGCTGCTAATTCCTTTCAGACAGCATTTTTGTTGATTGTCCCTACCTTTCCAATTCAAGTGATTAGCTGATCATTCCATTCGCATGTACAGCCAGAAAACTAACTTCATTTCCATCTCTGTTTTCTCTTCTTTATTTACTAAAAACTTTCCATGTTGGAGGCACTTTGTTATATTAATGACAGTATTGAACTGAATAACTGTTACAGAAATAATTTCATATAGAAGACAGCTACTTATACCATGTCATGAAAAATTAAGAGTCAGGAAAGATTAAACCTAGTCAGCGATGCAACCTTCCCCCTATTGAGGAGATCGCACTGGGAAACAGATGGTAATACAAGTCATTCCAGAAAGAGGAAGCACATGGGCAGAGGTCAATACAGTGTTGTTTAGTCAGACTATGGGACAATGGAGAAAAGGAAAAAAGAGTTTAGGTCCTTGAACGCTATGTTTTAGTAAGAAATGGGAAGCCACTGAAGGTTTTGAGCAAGCACATACACTGACATGATTTGAACAATACTAAGGGAAAAAAATAATCTCTTAATAGTGGCTTAGACTGATTTGGAGAGACTGGTTTTGGAAGAGTCTGGAGAAGAAGTCTGGGAGGATGCTGATGTATATTTATATTTGCTGTAAAAATGAGTTTCAGATTCTTTGTTTACATTACCCAGCTTTTCTTTAAACTATTTTTTGTTGTTGTATAAAGCTTCATTCTCACTTTTGCTTATCCATTTTCCTATATTTGATTTTGAACTTTATGTTCCAGGATTATAGTGTCACCTATGGCCATTGCCCAGAAATCACCATATACACAAGCTGCTGCTACTTTCCTAGTGCAGCTCAACTCCCTTCCCTGTGGGCAGAAAACAAACGCTCTCTTCTTAGCATGTTGGTGGAGGTAAGTATTTTTTCCTAGTACTGGGCTTCAAACCTAGGTCTTGCACAATGCTAGGCTGTATCACAGGAGTATATTCATCAGAAAACTTTGTCAGAACATTATCATCATCTTTTGCCAAAAATTTGTATTATTTATTTTGACCATATATAAGAAAAAGTATTTGTTCATTTTCTCACCAAAATAGACACCAGGCATTCATACACCTGGAGTCTGCTATTGTTTGACCTTGTGAGATATTGCACGTTCCTCAAGCTGAAGATCACCCAGAGTTACTGGAGTCAGTGTACATGGTGGGAAGGAAGTCATTCTAGGCATTCAAGGATTAGGTTCTGGTACTGGGATTTGAACGCAAGGTCTTATGCTTGCTGCCTGTAGGTGGGGGCTCTTTTACCTTTTAGTTTTCCAGGTAGAGTCTCTTGCTTTTTTTCTCAAGGCTCGTTTCAGACCTCAAACTTCCTACATATGTTTCCTGAGCAGGTGGGATTATAGGTGTATGCTACCACCACATCCCTCTTGTTTTATGAGATGGAAGGTGTCTCACTAACTTTTTTTACTGGTTGGCCTCCAACTGTTATCCTCCTGATCTCTGCCTATGGAGAAACTGGAATTATAGTTATGAGCCAACACTCTTGACTTGAAGATCAGGTTCTAATGCTTTACATTTTCACTTTCATACTATTCTTTCTTTTCTCCATCTCTGTGACTATGAAGTATTGGATGAGTCACAAATATGATCAGGATCAGTTGGGAAGAAGGAATAAATGAGACTTTCAGTGTTGATTGGAGTTTGGGTTTTCTTGTTGCTGTTTTTTTTGTTTTGGTTTGGTTTGGTTTTTTTTGATAGCAGGTATGAAACACATACTACACAAGCATTGTACCACTAAACCATATCCCCAGGCTTGGCTTTGCTGGCTGGTCTCCCTTCTTCTCACCTCCCTTTCCTACCCTTCCCCTCCCCTTTCTTCCTTTCCCATTCCCTTTTTCCTCTCCTTTCCTCTCCTCTCCTTCCTTTTTTTCCTTTCTGTCTTTCTTCTTTCAGACAGGGTCTGGACTTGAACTCACAATCTTTCTACCTCAGTCTTCCAAGTAGCTGGCATTACAAATGTGCACCACTATATCTGACAAGATGTGTGTGCATACTATTCATTTTTGATCATACCTCAAGCTATTGTCCTTAGAATACTTGACATTATAAAAAACATAAAATTGTATTTTAAACATTATTTTCAGGTTCACAAGGGAGTTCATGGATTTGTTAAAGATAAGACTGGAAAGCCAATCTCAAAAGCAATCATTGTGCTCAATGAAGGAATAAAAGTCCATACAAAAGAAGGAGGGTACTTCCATGTACTGCTAGCTCCAGGTGTCCATAACATCAATGCCATCGCTGATGGGTACCAGCAACAGCATTCACAGGTGTGAACTCAAATGGAGTGGTAGTTTGTAGATTCTTATTCTCAGTAATATTCCTATCTTACTTAAAAACTCCTGTTAGCAAGCATGAGGGGAATAAAGAAAACTAGCACCTCTTGATTATACTATGCTATTACCTTTGGTTGCCAAATGATATCTTTCTGTCGATTTTTTTTTTTTTTTGTCAGTTGTGGGCCTGAACTCTGGGCCTGGGCACTGTCCCTCAGCTCTTCAGCTCAAGGTTAGCCCTCTACCACTTGAGCTACAGCACCATTTCTGGCTTTTTCTGCTTATGTGGTGCTGAAGAATCGAACCCAGGGTCTCATGCATGCAAGGCAAGCACTCTACCACTGAGCCACCTTCCCAGCCCTTTCTGTCAAATTTTTATAGCATTTTTTCTTCTTTTTTTGGGGGGGGGGGGTTCTGGTCGTGGGGCCTGAACTCTGGGCCTGGGCGCTGTCCCTCAGCTCTTCATCTCAAGGCTAGTATTCTACCACTTGAGCCACAGCACCACTTCCGGCTTTTTTCTTTTTTGCTTATGTGGTGCTGAGGAATCGAACCCAGGGCCTCAGGGATGCAAGGCAAGCAATCTACCACTGAGCCACCTTCCCAGCCCTAGCATTTTGTATTCTTTAGAAGACAACAAATCACCTTCTTGGTTTGCTCTGCAGCCCCTGCACCTTTAATGCTCCAAGGCTATAATACAGACTTGTGCTAATTCTTGGACTTTATCCTTCTAGGTCTTTGTGCATCATGATGCAGCTAGCTCTGTGGTAATAGTGTTTGACACAGATAACCGGATATTTGGTTTGCCCCGGGAGCTTGTGGTAACTGTATCAGGTAACGAATATTTCATTTTTAGTATATGAAATTAAAATGTCTTTTTCCCCCTATCCTGGGGCTTGAACTCTGGACTAGGCCCTGTCCCTGAGCTTCTTTTGCTTAAGGCTAGCACTCTACCTCTTGAGCCACAGCACCACTTCCTAAAACCAGTCTTGTCATTTCACTTCTGGGTGTGACTCACCTTCATAATCACAGCTAGTTGCTATTTTTCCTAATGCTTCCTTATCTAAACATAGTTGTCCTGAGCCACTCTTCTCGCTACCTCACCTGTGCAGTCTGTACTAAATTTACCTCTCCAGGGAGGCGTAGCTAACTCAGCACCCCATCAATACCCCCGTCACAATATTATTTATATATTTTTTCGCTTATTTATTCAAATTTAATGTCTCCCACTAAAACATAATCTGAGGGCAACAAGGAGTTGATCTGCACCCCCAGAGCCTAGAGGCATCACAAAACATAGTAGATCGTAATGAAGAGTTGGTATCTGAGGAATAGTTTGCTTTAGATTAAGATCGTACAGGTTCCTTAGAGTTTGATTTGTATTCTGGTTTTCCAGAATCCAGGAAAAAGGAAATGTTTGGTTTCTTCCAGGGTCAATTTGTGCCATGGTTTGAATTAATGAAAGTTTGCAGGGTGAGGAATGCTGTACTTTTGGATTGTGTCTGCTTGGTTGAACCAGATAAAGTGTGAAGAACTTAATGGATTCAGCCATCATTTAAATCTAGCTATGCCACACAATATGTATTTTGAGGTTAATTGCTATTTTGATGATGATGGTGATGATGATGATGATTCTAAAACTTTTGTTTTAGAATTTTTTTGTATAAGTTAAAAGTAAAACAGGGCTTTTTGATGAAATAGAAAATTACTGAAAAGAAAAAGTAGAAGTCACTGATTGATTAAAAAGCAAGTTTTAGAGTTGAAAATATAGCTCAGTGATAGAGCACTTGCCTAGTATGTACAAGGTCCTGGGTTTGTTCCCCAGTGCAAAATAACAACAAAAATCCCAGGTTACAGAAATACAGATACTATAATTTCACTGTGGTAAAATAGGAAATACCCATGCAAAAAGAAAGATCTGGGAAAGTAAGATAAATACCATTTCTGGGTACTAGAAACATTAATTGCCTAAAGATGTGAGCCTTGATTTTCTTTATTTAGTTTAGTTTCATTGTGCTAGTACTATAGCTTGAACCCAGGGCAGTGTGCTCTCACCAAACTTGCTTATTCATGACTGGCACTCTACTCTGCCTCCTGTCTGGCATTTTGATGGTTAATTGGAGGTAGAGTCTTTCAGGTTTTCCTGTGTGGGCTGGCTTAGAACTTTGATCCTCCAGATCTCAGCCTCTTGAGTTGCTAGGATTACAGGTGTGAGGCCACCTGTAATAATAATAGGTTGTTTGGTAGGCAGGGTACTGAAAATTGAACCTAGGATGGCAAATGCTCTACCATGGAGGTACATCCAAAGCTGTAAAAGCACTTGTTTGTATCCTAAAAGCATAATACTCACATAATTGTTGTTGTTGGGCAGGTGCCACCATGTCAGCATTGATCCTAACAGCTTGCATTATCTGGTGCATCTGCTCAATCAAGTCTAACAGACACAAAGATGGCTTCCATCGGCTCAGACAACATCATGATGAGTATGAAGATGAAATTCGCATGATGTCAACTGGTTCCAAGAAGTCCCTCCTCAGCCATGAGTTTCAGGATGAAACAGACACAGAAGAGGAAACATTATATTCTAGCAAACATTGAAAAATACACTTTGCATATCTCCCAGCATAAGTACCAAGCAAAATGACAGTTCCTCTTGGGAGACTCTGCATTAAGAAGAGACTGTCTTGCTTCTTCAAAAAGCTTTGGGAAGTTACCTTGCTAAATTTATATCCTTTGTGAATTTTGCTGGCAGTTTTGAACTTCCCTTCTTTCAAGTACTCTTAACCTTTTTTAAAAAAATCTGATTTCTATTTATGCAGCAGAGATGAGACAACCAATCTGTTTTTTGTTTTACTTTAAGATGAGCTATTTGGAGCTTATATAACAACAGCATAAAGCCAACTAGTGGATGTTGTATTTTGCACATCAGGTATTTTACTAGTGGCTTTGGTTTTTCTTCTTTTGTTTTCCTTTATTTTTAAGGCCAAAAGAATCTAGATATATTAAGGCAGGGACAGCAGTCAGACTCTGACATAAAGCTTTAAATACTCAAGGTTTTTCTCAACCTACTGAGGAGTACTCTTCTCTAGTTATCAAATAGCTGGAGTTTCTCTTATTCAGGTTTAATGGAGGCTGAATGATTTTCAAACATGTATGACATAAGAAAATGAATAAATGGGCTTCCGAATTTGTCTTTCTACCTGTTTCCAGGCTAGATCAGAACAGGTGGGCTAGCAGGATTTCACTACCTCTCTTGTAAGGTTTGGCAAAGTTCTAAATCTCCTCATTTTAAGGGAGATCTCATTGACTGTGGAAGATCTAAACGTCCCCTTGAATGGAGGTGAGAGGGAGATACTAGCAAAAGCTGAAACTCTCATTGCCTATCTTTTAACTTGGTAAAAACCCACAGGTGCTGCTGCTTTTATCTGTGAAGCGCTAGTTGATTCTAGGAATGCCTAATTCTTCAGTAGTTCCTAAATTCAAGCCTTTTTCTATGTTATACACTTATGGTTTTCAGATGACCTAGCCATCTACAAGTTCTGAATTCTACTGAACATATCTGGAAGTGTGGATGAACCTACCTGCACATCTGAACATACAGTATCTATAGTCCGTGCTCCAGCCCCAGCCTTCGCCCTTAAAGCATACCATTAGTGAACTAGTGTCACCAGTGTTGTTCCTGGCAGGCCTCTGCAAGTGATTGGGTTCTTTGACCTACAGTTTCATTTGACACTGTCTTTTTTTCTGAACAGCCAGTTTTGTTAAAAGTTCAGTTGAAAGCCTTTAAATATGGCTTTCCCCACTTAAAAAAATGTAAACTAAGGATTGTGTGTGATATAATACTGTGGTGTGTAAGTATCATCTTCACTGCCCATCAGGTCAAGACCTGAAAGATATGCATTTGACTGTGTCCATCTCATGCTATTCAGTGGAAATGATACTTTTGTTAAGTATGAGTCTTATCAATGATGTAATGGTTTAATACCTTTGAATGTGTTAATGGTCAAGTTGCTGCTGAATTTGTACTAAATCAGGGGATAAAAAAACTAGCTCTTATTCTTTCAAACTGTATTCATATCTATTAATGTATCATTTATCCCAAAGCCTTCATGTGGAGGGGTTTGCTCAATTCACCTAGGTCATTCCACCGGGTTTTTATGAGGAATGAATCCAACGTGGCTTTAGACAATAGAGATCTTTTTAGGAAGCATAATGAGGACATGATGTGTGTCAGCAAATATCTGTGATAAGTTTGGGTGGCTTAAGGTTGAGCCATTCTAGTACTGATCCTGGCATTAGTAACCCCAAATTTCACCACTTTCACTCACATCCCATATACACACAGAGTTTGTGGGATGCTAATAATGAATGAAATATACATAATTTGATTTCTTCTAATAACACTTTGTTTTCTGTAAGTAAAGGGGGTATTGCTTTATTTTTAAGAGGGCAAAGTCAGAAAACCAACAGGAGTCCTACAAGTTGCTGGCCCTGCTTGGGACATTGCACCTAAAAATGAAACCAACCTGCTGGGACAGCCTTGGCTTTATTAGCATTGGCCTTCACTAAAGGATACCTTCATATTTACTTCTGTCTCAAATTAAATGCATCTTTAATATACATTTTAAAAGGCCAGGCCTTTTAAGTATATATAAAACTTTTCATTTTAGAGATGAACATAGTTCTTTTAGTATTTATTCTTGAAATGGAAACCAAATCCTGAGATTAAGTCTTCAAACTTTAATAAATTTCTAAATAATGCATTTAGCAAAGAAACAAGGCCTTTTTGGGGGCTTATCAACATGAATGTACAGGATCTGTGACTACTAAGACTGTGTTTTCAGCCCTGCTCTGTCTTTTATTTGTGAATCTAGTGTAATATTAGAATATATGAACAGCAGAAGGCATTGAAGCCATATGGGCTTGGGGAATGCATTTCTTCAGTATTTCTCCTAGACATGCCATTCCCCTGGAGTCACAGAGGCACATTAAGTATCACAGTATTAAGAAATTGGCTCAAATCTCACTTGTGCCCTTCTTTACTCACAAGGCATGGTTTTGTCCTAGTGATCAGTTTGTAAGCCTTCTTCCTTCCCAGCTCCTTAATCAATAAAAGTAAAGTGATTGAGGAAGTCATGTTCAAAGTGTCTGCCTGTGTAAAATGTACTCATACTTATCATATAGTTAAGTAAAATGAGTCCAAGTTATCAGGAGGAAAAAGCTGTTGGGTTTCCATGTACTTGGCAGAACTCTTCGGTAGTGAGTGAGACCCCATCTAGTTGAGAAATGCATGAAATTCTTACCACAGGGAATTCGCTTTGGGACTTTGTCATAAAAAGGAAACTTTACATTTTTGGCTCAGTGTAATTGAATGGTTAATCTTTGGTGATTTTCATCTGAATAACTGAATTAGTGAATATTGAACTTAAAATGAATTATGAGTTGACAAATTAATAAAAGATAAGTGTGTGTGTCTGAACTTACTGCGTTTCTGAGCTAGCCCCAGGTTACTCAGTTACCATGACCTGACCTCCATTTCCATTTATTCTCAGCATTAAGTAAGCTTATTTTTTGGTTAACATAAATGCACTTGTGCCTGGTTTTATCCTTGCTGTATTAAAAGCTTCCTGTCTATGAATGCTCTAATAGTGCCCTGTATTACAGTTCCCTGGTGAAATTGTTTTAGCAGTAGCAACTCGGCATTTCCCCTGTATTTTACTAAAAACCCCACTTATGTTTGATGTTCCATGATTTTCTATCCAGCAACTATCAGGGCTTTTAGTTAAAGCAGATTTGGGGAGGAGATGATTAGAGTCCTTGATTAGTGTCAACAAACTTGAATTTCTAGTTCATGAAGCAATCTCTCCCAACACCCAATTCTCCTATTTTTGGTGGTAACTCATCAATTCTACTTGATTTTCAGGATATTTTCTGGTTGATTTTGATTAGATGGAATATGTTAGGAAATTTGAAAGTAGGTTATCATTTTAAGGCAATTTGAATTAAATATTATGTAAATGTGTATGCTTATGACTTTTATAAATGGCATAACACAAGTGTGCTAGCAACATCTGTGTGGCCATACTGCAGATTTTCTACAGGCATGACATCATGCTATTTTTAGACATTTTCTTTTCACCTCTCCATTCTTTTCAGAATGAAAAATGTCCCACTCCAGAACTATCTATAGCTACTTACATGACATGCCCAATTCCCACTCATCTGAAGTGCTTCAACTTTTGCTTTAGTTTATGCACTGTGCCTTCAAAATAAAAAATAAATAAATAAAAGGACTTTAAATGAAGTTGAATAGCTTAAAGAAATCAATCTCTGTAATTTATGTGAACTCTAACTGTAATGAGGTCCTTTCTGGTTTTTTTTATATGTAAACAGATCTAATCCTGTATAAAAGTTATTTTATGATGTTTGTCTTTCTTTGTGTTTTGTCTTAATCATTTTTGAAAAGCAATAGACCAGGGAAAGTTATTGTTCTAATTTTAACTTTATATTTCACTTTTCTCCCAGTACTAGTTATACAGGTTGTCACCTATAAGAATGTTTCTGTCTCTGGGTAAGTTCAGAAACCAACCCACAAAACAGGTTTTGTTTCGGAATAAGCTGGGTCATAAAGCTCATCTGCAATGATAAATATTCAATAATTCCACCATGATGCCATAACCAATAGCAACCCAGCATTTAATACTCAGCCATTTCCTGTCTCTCTGTGCCCTCTCTTCAGGATCAAGAAAGGTTGAATGGTTTATTACCCATTTGGGAGCTGCTAGTATGGCTCAAGTAGTAGAATGCCTTTCTAGAAACTTCAAGGTCCTGAATTTAAAATTCAGTTCCAGCAACAACAACAACAATTTGTAATCCTTTTTCTAGTGAAGCCCAGTTAGAATAATGTGCCCTGGCACCTTCAGGCCCAGTGACGATGAGTTCAGTAAACCCCTTGTCATTTATAACAATTGGTAGATATTGCTACTCTAATAAGGACTGGGAAAGCAAAGTTGTATAGGAAACATGGGCTTTGATAACTAGGAACTAACTCAAAGCACACATTTTGAGAAATAGAAATGGAAATAAGCTATACTTCAGTTGTGTTTGTTTCCTCTGAAAAGAAAGCTGCTTGTAAGTAAAGGAGAGAGCTTAGGCTACTTGGAGATTGATTCTTAGCTCTCCCATTTGCTGCTTCTGTGATCTTGTAGTAGACAAGTCTCAGTTTCATACTGTGAGGAATAATCTCTGGTAGGATTGATTATATATGGGAATGAAATGAAGTGACATTAGCACATCTCAGAATTGAGTGTCCATAGTAACTAGCATAATTTTCCTTTGTTCCCTATCTTCTGATCCTTTTGAAAGAAAATTATTTTTGTTAGCTACATGAATAAAGATCTTTCAACAGATGGTCTTTTTTAATTAAGAAGATTAACTAGATATGAGTAGTTACTGGAAGTTTTCTTGCATTTTGTAGTTTAATAGATTGTCTATTTTTTTTCTTTGAAGGGGGTTTGTTTTTATTTTATTTTTTAATTTATTTATTCTTTTGTCAGTCATGGGGTTTGAACTCAGGGCCTGGGTGCTGTCCCTGACCTAATTAAGCCTAGCACTCTACCACTTAGTTTTCTGGTGGCTAATTGAAGATGAGTCTTAGAGACTTTCCTGCCTGTATGACTTCAAACCATGATCCTCAGATCTTAGCCTCCTGAGTAGCTAGAATTACAGCCATGATCCATAAGCACCTGACTTTGGGAGGTTTTATTTGGGGGGGGGGTCCAGTCGAGGGCCTGAACTCGGCCTGGGCGCTGTCCTTCAGCTCTTCAGCTGAAGGCTAGCACTCTACCACTTGGGTCACAGCACAACTTCCAGCTTTTTTTTCTGCTTATGTGGTGCTGAGGAATTGAACCCAGGACCTCATGCATGCAAGGCAAGCACTCTACCACTGAGCCACCTTCCCAGCCCTGGGAGGTTGTTTTGTTTTTGTTTTTTGACAGTACTGGGGTTTGCAGTCAGGGTTTCAAGCCTGCCAGGTAGGTACTCTACCACATGAGCCATATTTCCATACTGTTTTGCTTTTAGTTATTTTTCAAGAAGAGTCTCAAGTTTTTGCCTAGGACTGGTCTCGGACTGTGATCTCCTCCCTATCTACAACCTCCCATGTAGCTAGGATGAGAAGTATACCCCACCATGCCCAGCTCATTGATTAAAACAGTCTCAACTAACTTTTTGCCTGGGTTGTTCTTGAACTGCAATTCTCTCTGGTATCTGGGGTTAGAAGGGTGATGAGCAATGTCACCCTACCAACATTAAAGTTTTGATTGTACCTAATGTTTCAGAGTTTTTAAATAAAATTAGATTGCATTTAGTCTTCTATGAAGCCTTATTTAACTACTACAAGAAGTCTGAATAGTGATAATGGCTTTATGTCCTAATGTTTAATACTGTTTCCTAAATTTTTTTAAAATACCTGAATCAAGAATCCTTTGGGTTTGTTCATAAATAGTAATCTGCTGATTCTATTCAGTTTGTCAGATACCTTGAAGTTGACAGTTATCAGTAATATAGATATGACAGTCACTGAATACATGGCTCAGTTATAAGTAAGGGCCCCTGTATAAGTCTTCATCTCGTTCAAGAGCCAAGTGACTCCACAGTATGCACTGCAAACCTCAGATAATTACACCATTCTTTCCCAGAACTTCAAAAGCAATGAAATCAGCCAGGTACCAGTAGTTCATGGCTATGATCCTAGCAAACTCAGAGAGCTGAGATCTGAGGATCATGGTTTGATGCCCACCTGGGCATCAAATAAGAGTCCATGAGACTCTTATTTCAATTAATCACCAAAAGGCCAGAAGTAGAGCTGTGGCTAAGGTGGTAGAGCACTATGATTGAGCAGAAACGCTCAGGGATAGTCTGTGCCCTGACCCAGGACCAGCACACATACACACACACACCACATACACACGCATGCACGCACAAGAAAAATCAGAAAATGAAGGCCAATTTCTGTTTCATATTACAATTTCCACCTATGTGAACCAGCAGAATGTTAAAGCAAACATGCTAAATCTTTAGGACATTTGGCTGAGGTTACATGAAATCCTGTTCTGTTATTGTATGACCAAATGTGGACAAGAGGAGCAAGATAACAGATCACCTATATGGAGTAAAAAGGTGTTCAGCATGGTCAACCTGGAAGAAACAAGACATAGGACAAGTGCTGGGAGACTAGACTGAAGGCAGTGAACATGGGGGTATGTTGATGTGAATGCCTCAACTTGAGCAAAAATATTGTATTGATTCAACTGGTACAACTTAAAGAGGCAGTGATAAAGCCTTCTTCAAGATGGAACATACAATGCAGGTTAAATAGAAATTCTTATGACGGGCTGGGAAGGTGGCTCAGTGGTAGAGTGCTTGCCTTGCATGCCAGAGGCCCTGGGTTTGATTCCTCAGCACCACATAAGCAAAAAGAAAAAAGCCGGAAGTGGTGCTGTGGCTCAAGTGGTAGAGCGCTAATCTTGAGCTGAAGAGCTGAGGGACAGCGCCCAGGCCCAGAGTTCAGGCCCCATGACCGGACCCAAAAAAACAAACAAGAAATTATTATGACATTGTTTTCTGTGATCGTTGAGGGGGTAAGCCAAAATGAAGGGGACATAGAAAAGGTTTACATTGTTAGACCTGAGGCTTAGAGTAGAGCTCAATGATACACCATGCAGGAAGCCCTAGGTTCCATCCCCTGCATCACCACCAAAAATTTTGGAATTGCTAACTAATTTCAAATATCAACTTATTCCAACATAAAGAATTACTGTCACATGTATAGCACATGGTTCCAAAAAGAGTTTTTTAAAGACCAAACAAGCTTTTGGTTCAGAATCTGAAAAAGATGTAAGTAACTTAGAAGATTTGATCCTAAAGACTGCACAGAACAGATAAGGAGTGGTTAGTATGGTGATGACTGATTTGCAGGGCTGTTGGATATTTGCTTTGTTTTGGCAGTCCTGGGGCTTGAACTCAGGGCCTGGGTGCTACCTCTGAGTTTTTAGTATTCAAGCTGGCACTCTCCCACTTGAACCATAGTTCCACGTCTGGTCTTCTGGTGGTTAGCTGGAGACAAGTGTCTCCCAGACTTTCCTACCTGGGCTGGCTTTGAACTGTAATCCTCGGATCTCAGCCTCCTGAGTAGCTAGGATTACAGATGTGAGTCACCAGTACCCAGCAGCTGTTGGATTTAAAAATATATTTTAGTGTAATTTTAAATGTACAAAAGTTTCAAAGAGAATACAGAATTTAGTGTGAGGGAGGTGGATGTTGGGCGGGTAGCAAAGGAAGATTACATACTGTTTCTATTCAGTAGGACTTGAACACATCTGGAAAGGAACTCGCATGGAAGCAAAACCAGAGTCTGGTAGCTAGGAATAGCTTGGTTGGTCCAAGCTATGGCTCAAATTATGTTGTATTGCTTCTCCATGGCAAACCCCTAGTGAAGGCAGCTCCATCCTAGAGTTGAAGGAACCTTCACCCTTTTCACCACCAGTGCAAACAAATAGAAAAAAATTCCACCTAGGTTTTAGATGTTGACATGATCAAATAGTATAAAACAAGAAGAAAAAAACAGATAAACTTACCTGAGGAAATCACAGGGAACTATAATAGAACTTTTAGATAGAGAAACTAAAATGGATATTTGTAATGACTAAAAAGATCTGGAGAAATGACTACATACTACAGAGATAAATAGAAAATATATACTGGGTGCATAAAAGTAAATGTTCAGGGGCTGGGAAGGTGGCTCAGTGGTAGAGCGCTTGCCTTGCATGCATGAGGCCCTGGGTTCGATTCCTCAGCACCACATAAGCAAAAAGAAAAAAGCCGGAAGTGGTGCTGTGGCTCAAGTGGTAGAGCGCTCGCCTTGAGCTGAAGAGGTGAGGGACAGCGCTCAGGCCCAGAGTTCAGGCCCCACGACTGGACCCCCCCCCCAAAAAAGTAAATGTTCAATATAAAATCAGAGAATCTCAAAACTTCAAATTAAGATGAGCAGAATCAGCAAGTGCTCTCACGACATTTCCCAGCTCTGCTCCACCACCAGGCTTGGGGGGGTGTGGGGGAGGAGAGAGGCAGAAGGGAGAAGGGAGGACAAAGACAGATGGAAACAGACCACAGGGAAGACAGCAGAGGAGTGGTTGCCAGGGAAAGGATATGATGTTCTAAACACTGCTTTAAAACTACTGCCAGAAAGACAGCCCATCTCATCTGAGTGGTCTGGATGCATACACGTAGTATGGAAAGCACACTGGAGGGAAAGCCTTCAAAGTGAGCGCCATTCAAAGAGGGCAAAGAGGGATTTTAAGAGCTATGTTTGTAACACAACATCTAGTAAAGTGAAGAAAGTGAACGGAGAAAGTGGGCACTGGACTCATGC